GCAAATCAATACAAAAACTTAGGAAGAACAGAAGTAATGGATACAGAAATAAATACAGCATACTTGCAAAGACTCAACATGGTGTTTGTTAAAGGAATTCCTGCCTCACAAAACAACCACAATTCTCTGTAAAGATGACTGGTTACATTGATAAGGAGGCACTCTGCTGAAAGAAACCTAGGAAACAAAGTCCATACCAAAGATTTCAAAGGACACCAAGCAAGTATCTGAAAAAAATAAAAGAAGGCCCTTTGTATGAATAATTAACTAATTAAGAGACAGAGAGATGAGAAGGAAGATGAAGGAAAGTAGGAAGTAAATGATTTCTTATTTTAATAGAAGGACATGACCAATGGAGTTTCACAGAAACCTGAGCTGGGTCATGGATTATTCTACATAATCATAAAGAAAGAGGAGATAAGCAAGTAATAAAATGATGAAAATTTGCTGGTGATCCTAAGTTATTCAGGACAGTAAAGATAAGATCTGACTATAGAACCGCAGAAACAGGTTGCAACACTGACCAGGCAACAAAGCGTCAGACAAAAAAAATTACTGCAGATTAAAGTGATACAGATGGGCAAGCACCTTTCTAGCTTCCTATATGAAATCTAGGTCCTAGATGACCATTACTCCTCAGCAGCAAGATCTTTTCATTACAATATGTACCTCCATGAAGAAAACCAGACTTCTTTATGACAAAAGGGACTTCCAGGGTTATGCAGTCCAGCCCCCTGCTCAAACCAGGTCCAGTTGGAGCGTGTTACTCAGGGCCTCATCTAATCAGTTCTGAACATCTCCAAAACTGCACAATCTGTAGGTGCTCTGCACACCTCATCCAGTGTTTGACTACCCTTACATAGGAAAAGGCCTTTTCTTATATCTCAACAGACCTTCCCATGCTCCAGCTTCTGTCCATTGCTTCCTGTCCTATCACTATACACATCTGGATCAGCCTATCTCTGTCTTCTCCACACCTGCCCATTAAGTGGGTAGCTGTAGACCACAGTAAACTCTGCCGTTGGCGAGATGAAAAATTACTGCAGATTAAAGTGATACAGATCCTAGCTTCCTGTATGGAAGCTAGGTCCTAGTTGACCATTATGCCCCTCTTCTCAAGATGGGACAAATCCACTTCCTTCAGCCTCCCCCTTTATGTCACATGCTTTACCATGTCGACATTTTCCCTCGTACCAAGGAGCCCCCAGCTGGACATGGTACTCCAGATGCTGTCTCACAAGCACCAACCAGAAGGAAAGACCTGTTTCTGCAGCCTGCTGGTTACGCTTCTGCTAACAATCCAGCATGCAGCTGGCCAGCATTGCTGATTCCTGTTCAACTCTCTGTTCATTGGGACCATTGTGTCTTTCCCTGCAAAGGTTCTCTGAAGGCACTGATCCCAGCCTGTACTGTTGTCTGGTGTTACCCTGGCGTAAATGCAGAACTTGGTATTACTGCCTTTGTTGGACCTCACGCATTTCCTGACAGATGATGCTTCCAGCCTGTCCCTCTGTCTAGCAGCTCTGTCCTCCAGCGTATCAGACACTCCCCAACTTGCTCTAGGGAAGTTCACATGTCTGTTGAACATGCTGACCCATCATCCCAACTTTCAGATCATTAATAAAGATGTTAAATAATATTGGTCCCTATATCAGTACCTGAGGGACACTGCTGGTAATTGACCAAAAAAAACAACCAAACAAACCCAAACAGAGGAAAGGTCACTGATTATACACAGAGCTCTAGCTTGATCTAGTATGGCTATTCTAAAGTCATACTTTCAGTCTGAAAACTACATCAGTGTGTTGTTCTCATAAATGGGAAAACATTGGCTGTTGGTTCCTCTTTGGATTTTAACTCCAAAGACTTCTGGAAAAAACAGAATACTAGCAGAACATTACATAATGTTACATAACTATAGAACCTTTACTGAAGTAGAAATTATTTTAGCTAGCTTCAGAGAACATAAGGAAACAATATCATAGTAAAGAAGAGGTTTGTTTTATCTACCTCAAGGCATGTACCACTGTTAAACTTACTCAGAATCTAAGACTGGCAATAACAAAATTCAGAAACATTGGTATCATGGGCTTTTTGTAGTTATTTAAGCTTTTATTTTGACTATATAGGTCAAGCCCATTTCAAAACCTCTGACAGGATCTCCTGTAACAAGAAAGTTGGAAAAACACGTTCAGTAACCTGTGGGCACAAAATCATTCTCTGAAGTGCTTAGGAAAAAATGGGGTTTCTGAAGGTTGCACTGTGAGCTGTAATCCCACAAGTCTGCACTCAGGATGTTGGAGGATAGGTCACCTTCAACTATGAAAACTGACTTTGTTCTTTCAGGAACATACGCAGACAGAGCTCAAAGTTCCCTCTTGGTGAACTTTTCTCAAGTGCCTAACAATGAAGGTTGACAAAAAACTATTCTGCAATTTCTCAGAGTGCTTCTTTACTACAGATCCAGGCAGACAGACTCCTACAGCTGTGAAGATACCCAACTGCTGCTGGACTAGCAAACAGGTACATAATGGCAGCTGAGGAAGTCGCTGGTGGAGCCACATCCTGGAAAGTGCTTTTTTCCCCGTCTTTGCCTTTCCTCAGCTGTTTAAATGACTTGTTATTAAATGAGTCAGCACTGGCCACTTTAAACACCCTTCCTGACTTATGTTGCCAAAAACTTTCCATAAAAAAATAAAACCCAACATAATTAGACTGGAAATGGGTAGCAGGAGTGAAGGAGATGTCTAGATTTTAAAGAATGCTGTACTATTTACGTGTGGAATACCGAACTAAAAACACCTATCAAAAAAAATAAAATTGTATTTATTCTGAAGAAAATTGTGGGGTTTGACACCAAAAGCCGTATTATCTGAACTGCATGCCACATACTTTGCAGAATGGCTTTATTCACAGTACAGATAACATAGACAGTGAAAAACAAGTGTTAGCAAATATGCTTAATACTGAGGCTAGAATCTGCTGTCTTGTCATTTGTGGCACTACTAGAAAAAGGCCACATCAGGGTCCGAATAGATCTAGAGAAAATTAAGACCTAGTTCAACTCTACAAACAGTAAGTTTTAAAAACAAATTAATTAATAAACATATCTCATAATGACTCTAAGGGTAATTTCTCCTGCTGGAAAAATGGGAATCTTATACCACCGCTGGCAGCAAATACATTCTGATACTATATAGTTTATAAGAAAAATTAAGCTGCAAAATGAAATTAAGAAAACCAAACAAAAACAACTCTAACGTTTGCTGAGTAAGAGCAAGTGGCCAAACACACATTTATAGTGTTACGCATCAGTTAAGATGCTGTACTACACAGTACATGAATCTAAATAAGAACCAACACAGAGGGTTTTTCGTTTGATTGGTTGGGTTTCTTCTTGCTTAAAGAAAATAGATTTAGCTCCACGAGACAGACTGAAAGTGAGTTTGTCAGACAGGGCACCTTTTGTTTCCTCTTTGCTTAAAATAAGTAGTGAAAAGCAGTAGCAACAGTGACTACTTTTTTCAGTAGTATGCAAGTATCACATGGCGCTTCTCAGCTTTTAACAAAAGGGTAAACTGTGAAGTTAACTTTACAGCAAGAACAAACCCCTTTGCAAACTTACTTCGTACAAGCAGAAAAACAAAGCCAAAAGCATTACTGCTGATACATAGCTTACACAGAATATAACAAACAAATTCTGATTAAGCACTCTATAAACACCCTTTCTGCATAAATACCTAAACAAAGCAAGCCAGTGAGACCTCTACTGAATAATCCAGATGAAACAGTACAGACTGAACTGATAAACCAGTACAGTAAGTGGGGCATTTTATCAGGCAAGTGTAGGGAGCCAGGGCTGATACCATCAGCAACTTCAGCCTGAATGTGAACAGAGCTCAGAGCTCACTCTTCAAGGGAACAAGCTCATCTGAAATCTGGACAGCCTTACCAGGAAAACAGTAAGCTCTGAGCGTTCAGAAATGCTCAGACACCTTACACAGCATACAGGGGAAGTGAAAGGTGCTTAGCACTCTGGAAGACAGTGTCACAGGTTCTGTGGTCAATGAAAAATCATACATGATACATTACACGTGCAATGAATCCAGAGAGAAATAAGACCACTGTTCTTAAAGAGTATTTCAGAGGAATAAGAATGTGCACATCTTCCCAGAAATCTCTTAAAAGTAAGAATTTAATGTATGCAATTAAACTCAGCCTTTGCAACTGGAGGGGTTTTCTGTTTGTTCTTAAGCTTCCTAAAAGTGGCCTCCATATTCTACCTCTCCCAGTTGTTTCCGGAGTCGAAAATTAATTGAACTTTAATTTTACTTTGCCTTGGAACAAGTAGTTTAATCCCTTCGACAGGCTTCTTCAAACTGACTGGGAGTTCTTCAAACAGAGAAAGACAAATTACCATGATAAGTATAGAACCACAATTACCCATCACAAACCTTTCCTGCAGCCCAGCTGTACAAACGCAAAACAAGGCTCACAACAGTTTGTTTCCAGATGGGCTACGATGATACAAACTGGACCTCATCGGGACTAGTTACTTTTGTATGGTGGTGAAACATTGTTATACGGATTTTGGACAGATAGGGTTTGACTTGCTAACTTTAATAAATTGTGTCCTAGGTACAAAAATGATACAGTACAAACACTGTGCTGTTTTCATACGTGATTTTTCAAAAAATAAAAGTTTTATTGTGTACATTAAACGACAGTGTTGTAACTAAAGATTAAAAACAAACAAACAACAAACCTCAACATCGAAGCGGCTGGCATATAATTATTTATAAGACCACTTGAATGCCTGATTTTTATTTTTTTTTTTCCTAAGCTCATTTAGCACAGTACGGGACACGTTAAGAGGTCACCGAGACACAGTCGGCGTATTATTTAACTTCTTAAAATTCGGGGACTCCCCTCGGGAGCGAGAAGGGCTCCAACCAATGCAAGGCTCGGCCCGGACCGCCAAAACACAAAGCTTCGCCAACCCCCCTCCTCCCCGCCCCGGGGCCGACCGTTCTGCCCGGCGCCCGGCTGCCAGACAAGGAGAGCTCTCCCATGCGGAAAAACCCTCCGGGGAGGCGGGGGGCACTGGGGCGGCCGGCGCACTTCACGCTTCCCGCCTCCCAGCGCCCATCGCCCCCCCCCCCCGCCGCCCAGGACGACGGCGGCGGCGTCCCGGGGCTCAACCCGCCGCCGGCACCGCAGCGCGGTGGTGCCGCGGGCCTTACGCAACGGCACCGCGACCTTGCGGGGAACTTCGGAGCTTTTCTCGGTGCGGGGGGGGGAAAGGCAGCATCCCACACACACACAGCGCCAGACAGAACCCCGGCTCTGGCAGCGGGATACCGCCCCCGCACCGCGCCGGCTGGCGGGACCCCGGCCCCGGGGTG